AACATGCAGAAGTTAGCATATCTACATATTGCCTTGCCACTCTTCATAACCCACCCAAATAATTGAGAACTAAAATAATCAAGAACCTTATCTCCTCTTCTACATCTAAGTATTTTGTTGCTTTAAATTGATTGATCTGAGTCTAAAGAATCACAAGTTTGTATTCGCAAATTAGCAATGTTTTTCTTCTAAAACATATTTTGAGTTACTAACTTGTATTAAATAATTGTGGAAAATGAGACAGCTGTAAGCACAGTTAACTTATTTTAAATAGTCCTTCCAGAAAAGGTGCCAATTTAAAGAATTCCTTAAATCAGTAACCACAGGAATGTTTTACTGTATTTACTTAAAGTAATTCATTAATTTTTTTAAAAAAACAGGGAGATCAGAAGTTAAAGCTCTTCTTTACAGAAGAATCCAAGAAAAAATATAGAAATAATGATCAAAAGAGAATATCATCATTTTGTAAACACCACAGCAATAATTAATTCAAACAAGAGTCATTGATTTATGCTAAAATCATTGCGTGAAAGGTTGAGAATAAGATATCCCAATTTCAAAGAATTGCTCCCACAGATTACTTGTTACAGTCATGTGCTGCATAACAACGTTTTGGTCAACAACAGAGTGCATATACAATGGTGGTGCCATAAGATTAGTACCATATAGCCTACGTGAGTAGTAGGCTATACCATCTAAGTTTGTGTAAGTGCACTTTACGATGTTCACTCAACAATGAAATCTCCTAATGATGCATTTCTCAGAACATATCCTCATTGTTAAGCAATGCATGGCTGTAATTACAAAAGGGAAAATGTACATTTATAAAGGAGAAATCTGACAGACACCACCTTAACCAAGAGATCAAATTTACTGTCACTAATAATAAGAGAAACTAGGATCACAAAAATCTTGTGATGCTTTGTGAAGGACACACATCACATGTGTGGTACTCCAATGACCTTAAATATTTGACCTGAACCTAATCATGAAGAAGGAAATGTACAACCCCGAATTAAGACGCATTCTGCAAAACATCTGATGTCGAGTCTTCAAACATAGCAAAGTAATGAGAAGACAAAAAGCAAAACTAAATTAGTGGTTAGGGAAATGTTCTGGATTAAAGGAGACTAAAAAGACATGACAACTGAATGCAATCTATGATCTTTGATGGGATTCTGGGTTCGGGAAATAAATCATTATAAAGTTCCTTTTGGGAAGGATTTGCAGATTTTGAGTATAATGTGTAGTAAATAACAGTGCTCTATCAAAGTTAAGTTTCTAGAGTGAGATTTTTATATTGTATTTATGCAAGAGTTTGTCCTGTTTCTTAAGCATAGGGGATGGTGCCTTTAGAGGTGAAGATAAAGCAAATGTGGGAAAACGTTAAAAATTAGTGAATTACAGTAAAGAGTATATAGGGAATCATTGCACAATTTTTGCAAATTTCTTGTGTTTGCATTTTTCAAAAAAAAGGTTGGAAAAATACAATAATTTTCTTATATCATAAGAGTGTATATAATGAGAAAAGTATAAGGACGGGACAAACTTTTTATTCATTCAACAAATATTTATTTACTGCCTCCTATCTGCTAAATATTTTCCTACCCAGTTGGATAGATCAGCAAACGAATTAGAGGAAGAGCCCTGCCTTTGCAGAACTTAGATTCTTTCTCCTCAGGCCTGAACTTCCTCTTCTGTAAATGGGTGAGGGTGGGGGATAATAGTAAGGGTTGGACTTGGTGACATCATAAAGTCTTTTTCTACACTAAATGCTATCATTTTAGATGCATGAATTTATTCTCACTTTGAATAGATATGAGACAGCGGCTAATTTCTTCCACTTAGTGTTTTATAAAAAGAATATATTGTAATGAATACAAAGACACTAACCGACAACTCTTACACACAGGACATAACAGAACATAGCAGTATTAGTTCCGATTTTTGTATTATTACAAACCTAAAGCAAGACACCATTGAAGTATTTATTTAAAAAATGCTAAGTTGTGGGGCCGGGCTGGTGGCATAGTGGTCAAGTTTGCATACTCTGCTTCGTTGGCTTGGGGTTCGCAGGTTCCGATCCTGGGTGTGGACCGACGCATGACTCATCAAGCCATGCTGTGGCAGTCATCTCATAAACAAAATAGAGGAAGATGGGCACAGATGTTAGCTCAGAGCTAATCTTCCTCAGGAAAAAGAGGAGGATTGACAATGGATATTAGCTCAGAGTCAGTCTTCCTCACACACATACACACAAAAATGCTAAGTTGTGAGTTTGCTTTGGTTTTCCTTTCCAAGATTATTAAGAAAAAAAATCTGCTTCCAATAAAAGAAAATTTATTCTTTACATCATCTTCTTTTGCAGACCCTGTAGTCTTTATCAAATCTGTCTAAATCAAAAACGGAAACTGCATCACATTTAATGGTTATGCATTGCCCCAAAGAGAAAGTAAAATACAAAGTTTTAATTCAAAGCTAAATTTAAAAGTAGTAGTCATAGATGACCTTCTTTCATACCTTTAGATATATGCAAATACAACAGGATTAAAACTTTTATTAAAAACACATAAGTTTTTTTGAAAAATAGAATAAATAGGAAATACTTGAATAAGACACATTTTTGTGTCTGCATAAATGGTACTGGGCCAGAATATACTTCTCTAGACACTGCATAAAATTATTAGTGTTGCTTATGCTCTGCATTCAAACGCGAGGTCAGAAAAAAGTTTTTTATTTTTCCTACCTACTCTTTTTTATTTCATCTTTCGAATTTATCAGTAGTAATGAGTGATTTTCTGCCAGTGATGCTACTTGTGCAAGAGTGGCAGATAATGATAATTCAGAACTCTCCAGATTCTCCTTGGATTTGCTTTTGTCATTTAATTACCCACCTTTTTGTTTATGTGCATGTTGGGAGTGGTGATGAAAGGAATTTGAAAATCTATGTTCTGCCAAATGCACTTGCTATGCAAATCAAATTCCCTGCAACGATGAGCAGGGAAAGTAGGAGGAAGGAAAGTGAGAGCTTCTGCATTTATTTTTAATGAGATTCCTGAGAGAGTTGAGAAGTTGAGGAAACAAAGGAGAAAGAATAGGTGACTGTGAAAAGGATACTGGGCTTTGATTTCAAACACAGAAGATGAGGGCAAATGGGAGGGAGATTTCCCCAGTAGGCAGAGAAGATGGAATTCAAATTTACTAAATGTCACTAATGGAATGGAGATGAATGGAGATGAGTGAAGTATTTTTAAAACCAAAGACAGAAGAAGAAAAGGAAACAAGGTTGGAAAGTTCATTTTAAAGCAGAAGAGAGATGTGGGGGTATCAGATCATTAAAATCAAGAGTAAATATATTCATCGTTTTTAAATATCACAGAGGAGAGGAACAAGTTTGAGCAAATAAAAATAAGATGTCTTCTTTTCTTTTATTCTTGATCAAGTAAAGGATATGTGAGACAGAGAGAGATCTTGTCTGCCTGCCCTTCTGTTTCACTCTTTTTCTCTCTAACCCACGCACCAAGACACTGTGGGGAAGTCACTAAACGTTGTGGGCAAGAGGAAAGAGGAAGTGAAATGGAAGTGAAAACATGAAATGAACATTAAGAAAATTTCTAGTGACGCCTGAGCCTTGGTTAAATTATGAAGCAGAGAAAGTATAGCTTTGGAGGGTTCTTTGTCTATTTTTCTCTTGATATTTCTTCCCGCACTTCCCCCCGTCACAGGCACCCCTCTCCCCACTGTCTTTAACCTGTATTGTTCCCCCAGCCTGGCCTGGCTTTTTCTGCACTAGCCTCACTTCCTACCTGTCTGTCCCCAGACTTAAACCAGCTAATGACTCTGCTCTTAGAAGTTCAATCAGCAGAGATCTGACAACTAGGCCTACTTAGCCCACTAATATGTAACCTTGTTCATCATCGGGGCTCCACAAAGCTGTGGAAAGATGGTAGGAACAAGGAAGGAAGGAAGTCTAGCAAGGGAAGGAAGGGTGAATAGGTAAGTTAGCTGTTATTACCCTCAGGAACATGTACCTGAATTTTAAAAGACTGTTAACTGAAGTTGTAATTTAACCCTGAAGAAGAGATCTTTAATGGAGAAATTCATACATTCTGAGATTGACCCTCTTCCTGAAATCTTTAATTTGATGATTGGGAAATTATTCCCAGGACTTTCATTTACATCCCTTGAAATTTCTTAGTTTGCCGTCTAACACTAGTTTCAACTTATAGTACTGAGTTTCCAAGAAAATATATGTAAAATCTATGCAACCATGTTAATGATTAGTGGCTATATACTTATAAAATATTACCCTGGCAAACCTAAGAGGCTCTAAGCAGAGATATATGCAATTCCTCAGTTGTGTCAACAGATGGTGCCATTTATACACAATAGTGCATACTCTCCAGTTTATTTAATATAATAAATTCTAATAATTTCTCTAAAGTGTTAATATGAACAAATAATTGGCCTTTGTGCTTTATTGAATTTGTATACTTTCAGTAATCATTTCTTCTTGAGGAGATATTTTCTGGTGTTTTGTCATTTGCAATGATTACTATTTCTGTTTAAAACAGCTTCATTTGTTACTGAAAACAAACTTTGACCAGAAAAGACATCATTACCCCCCAGATTTCTATGTTTTGATTTAAATTTGTATAAACAGAGATATAAAAGCTAAGGAGACTCGCCCAGGTAGGTTCCCTGAGTGTCAACTAGCCTGGTCATGGGTGACACTAAAACCACAGATATTTGTAGGGATTGTCCCTTTAATTCTGAAAAAATGGTTTCCTAATGATATTTTTTGGTTTCACTTTATGATAGCCTCTCATCAGTCCGTAAATGCCCATCACCGGTTCTATCAGCATTTTTGGTTTGGAGATTATGTGCTTTATGAGGCAAAACATAACAACACAATCATGTAAATTGCCCCCATGTTTTACAACCCCAACTGCTATATTTTATATAAAGGCCACAAAATGAATATAGTTATTGATAAAATTGGATTATATCCCAAGGACTCCTGCTTACTGAATTTGCAAATGGAGCATATTGAGAAATCAAAAGTATATGCTGAGAAAGGTGGGTAAGGAGTAAAATCCTCAGAATAGTTACAAATTTTCATTTCTAAAGACTAGATATTAGCAAACAGAAAAGGGGATTATTTTTTTCATTTGGGAAAGTTGATTTCTAATATTACTTGATATAATATAAGTAATACAGTTTTCATTACTTAGGAAAAGAGTGATTTGTATGAGGGAGTCAAAAATAGTTTTAAAATATTACTATATGCTAGGAACTGGTTTTTGGTTTTGTTTTGGGGTTGTTTTTGGTTTCTATTTGTCATGTGCCTAAAGTTTTGTTTCTAAAATACAGCAAAACCGATTCGATGTTCCTCAAAATGCTTCTATAAAGATCAGTATTCAATGCAAGGGCCACCTGCCATAATTACATAGTGTATACTTCAGTCAGGAAAGTAAAACGTTTCCTGCTTTGCAAGCTGGTGGGACATTTATTAAACTGATTCTAATCTTCCTCACAGTAATACATCACGTTGTTTCTTCACTATTCCTCTAAAAGAATATTTTTAAAAAACACAACTCTTTTAAAACTCTAGCAAATGGATGAGTACTCCAGTAAAGCCAAAGCAATTGTCAAGGAGTCAATCTATATTAAATGAGCAGAATTTTGACAGATAAACTTGAAACATATTTTTCAGGATAATGCTTGCAACCAGCACTACTTTGCTTGGCCAGTTACAGGTTACTAGATTATTATTCCCTTCTAACAGCTTTTATGCCTGTAGTGGGAAGAGTGCCCGGTCCCAGAGACTGAGTTCTCCTTCTGTCGGAGTCAATCTTTCATATGTGTTTGTAACTAATGGCTAAATATATGTAAAAGAGCATTATTAAATTTACTTTGCTAATGAGTAATAATAACAATAGTTTCTCTCATGCTTCTGATTTTGCCTTGTGAGTATGCCAGTTACTTTATATATCTATTACCTAGCTTGATATCAAAACCGGCAACAGTATGTGGGGCTATTTGTCAAATTTATTCTAAAGTCAAGCTAATTAGATTAATACAAACTTTCCTGCTTAGTGTATAGTCTTTGTGAAATAATCATAATATAATTTGTAACAGGGTCTTAACATTTTACAAATGAAATTGATTCCCTTGGAAAATGGTCGTAGGTGCCCTCTATATGTTATTATATACCCCATGACTTAAGCGTAGCTAATTGATCATTGATTTATGAAGTATTAAATAATGATTTAATAAGTAACACTCAAAACCTTTTAGAAGTAAATTAATGCTGTTAGTTGAACAAAAATAATACTTTTTTTGTAATATTGAGGTAAAAGTACTTTATGGGTCATGAATAAAACATATGTATGTACATATTTTTTCTAATGGAAACATTTTTTGCACCATTTCACAGGCAAGTGTGTCTAACCATATGGCAGTTTGACCTTCACTTATTTCTAAGCCTTATCACATTCCTATAGCCTCTGATATATCTGGCTTTTCCCCCTCAATCCCGATAGATATGCTTACTTCTCAAATAATTCTCGAATTGAAGCAAAGGATATATAAGGTGATTCACCTAATTATGAGCATTTATGAGGTAACTAAGAACTCATTTCTGAAGAGAAATTTAGACAGTGTTTAAAAATCTGTGAATATTTTACCACATCACTGCTAAATTAGCAGAATAACAAAAATAGCTAATATTAATTGAGTACTTACCATGGTCCAGGTAATATGCCAATCCGTCCCCGGGTATTATCTTATTTAATACTCACAACAAACTGAGGAGGCAGAGACTATTGCTTCTACTTGTCTGAAGAGAAGCAAAGTATTAGAAAGATTAAGAAACTTGCCTAAAGTAACACAGGTTACAAGAGATAAGGCCTGAACCAGAAGTCAGGTCTTTTCATTTCAAAGGCCATCTCATCCTCTGAACTGTATTGCCGCCTTCCCATGGCAAAAGAATTCTCCATGTCTTCTCCTACAAAAAAATGAAAACAAATTAAACCAAAAGAGAATTCTGAATATGGTATATATTGCCATAAAAATTTTAGGGCCACCCTTACTGGTCCTTATCAATCAATGTCAATAATTATGATATTTTATTAAAATATCATATAAAAATATATTTTTATTAAAATAAACATGATTTTATTGATTATTGATGATCTTAAAAGGATAAATTTACTTTCTAAAGTGGTAGAAAATAGATTGTTTAACTAATAATGTTAACTTTAAGCTTTCTGACTAAATAGCCAGCTGAAGTAAAATAGTTGTTTATCAAAGCATACAAAGCTATGGAAGTTACATTCAGCCATGCAATACACCACCACAGGACTAAGATTAATTGGAGAACAGATTTCTTTTTAGCCCCTTTTCAGAAGAGTCAGCCTGACTTTGCTCATGACATCTAAGGAACTTTGTGATTCTTCAGGGAAAAAGAGTATTTGAAAAATTAGAGCTAATTTTCTTAAAGATTATGAGTTATAAGCAACCTATCCAGGGTGGGTTGCTTTTGAAATCGAAAGTAACAACATATTAATGCCATTGCACTAAGACATTTGCATTAACAAGAGGCATTCTCTGAATATCATTAGCATATTCTCATTAGACCCATGCAGTCAACACTTCAATTTCTTGATTCCCGAATAAACCATGCAACTCAAGATGAATATTGAGTCCTTATGCATTACGCATAAAAAGGGTAACCTGTTTAAATTTTTGTTAGTTGTGTTGTTTACAGATAGCATTACATTTCCTAACTCATTACTTTTTTTGTTTAATTATATTATGGGCAAAACCTTAAGGACTCTTGGAAAAGATAAAGCTTTGCATTTCAAAGAAACCACTGCCATCGCCCACTGACCGAAAGAAGTTTGACCATGATTTTGCCATCTCCACTTCCTTTCATGGGGTACATCACATTGTTCGGAACCGGAGCAAAATTCGCAAGGTGATCTGGTTGGTGGTGGTCCTGGGCTCAGTTTTCCTCGTGGTATGGCAGATCTACAGTCGCTTGGTCAACTACTTCACATGGCCAACCACGACATCTATAGAGGTTCAGTATGTGGAAAAGATAGAGTTCCCGGCTGTGACGTTTTGTAATTTGAACAGGTAAAAATTACTCTTTTAATAGTAATAAGTCTCTACAACTTTGCTAATATAACTTTTCTTGGATGACTGAAATAGAGTTTTATCATGCAGTATTTAACATATGTAGCACCATTAAAGTTCTTAAATTGTACTTAAAAACACAAATTTAGGGAAACAAAGAGGTTTACTGATTTCTTCATTCATTTATTTTCTCTCTTGTCTTCCTTCCGTCCTTCCTTCCACAATTATATGCTGGCAACACGCCAAACCCTGTGGTTAAAAAGGTTGATCTCTACTTAAAAAGTTTGATAATTAGCAAAAAAGAGAGAAACATAATCACAATGCAATATGTGTGGTAATTATACAATACAATAAAAGCATAAACAAGGACTCTGAACAGTATGGAGGTACCTCAAAAAATTAAAAATAGATCCCATATGCTCTAGCATTCTTACTCCTAATATTTATCCAAAAGAATTTAAATCAGGATCTTAAAGAGATGTTGGTACTCTCATGTTCATTGCAGCAGTATGCACAATAACTAAGATATGGAAACAACCTAAATGCCCATTAAGAGAAAATGGATAAAGAAAATGTGGTATATATCTATAATAGAATATTATTCAATTTTAAAAAAGAAGTGAATTCTGCAATATGAAACAATGTGAATAAACCTTGAAGATATTATGCTAAGTGAAATAAGCCAGTCACGGAAAGGCAAATATTGCGTGACTCCACTAAATTAAATATATGAAATAGTCAAATTTATAGAATCAGAGTGGAATGGTGGTTTCCAGGGGCTGGAGGAGGGAGAAAAGGAAATGAGGAGATACTAATCAACAGGTATAACGTTTCAGTTATGCAAGGTGAATAAGTTCTAGAGATCTGCTGTACAATATTGTACCTATAGTCAACAATACAGTATTGTACACTTAAATTTAAGAGGGTAGATCTCATGTGTTCTTACCACACAAAATAAAATTTTTAAAAAATTAGCAGAAAGTCATTGTATCTACTACAATAATTAGAATACAGTCATGCATCACTTGATAGGAATATATTCTGATATCATCATTGTGCGAACATTGTATAATATACAAACGAAAACCTACTTACTAGGCTATATGGTACTAATCTAATAGAATCAGCATTGTATCAGTGGTCTTTGACCAAAACATTGTTATGCGGTGTGTGACCATATAAAAAATGTACCAAATATATTTAAAAAGCAACTGTTTATACTTTCTGGAAATTGCCCTCAGGGAGTACAGCAAATGAAGAAATACTTATTCAAGAAAATCCACTAAATTTCAGTAAAAACAGTGAGAGTTTGTAGAATTTGAGCCACAAACCAACCCCTCCTGTCTCAGCATGACAGAAATCACACTCTAGGTGGGTTTGACCAAGAAGACAGGGCTCTTTCTCCTCCTAGTTTCCAGTCAAGGGCTACAGCGTGCCCAAGGAGATCCATGCTGATAATCCAGCTCCATGTTGCAGAGGCTAAATTTCAGATGAGTACAGTAAAGAGGTTGGGGGCTTCCTTCCTCCATGTGATGCCCACTTGTAGGATGGAAGCTCTACCCCAGGTATTGTAGGCTGAGATACTCAGTCACTCTTACCCCAGCCTGCTCAAAGATGAAAGTTCAACATTGAGAGAGGCAAGGTCAGAAGACCAGAAACCACTGCCATGCCCAGAACCCTGCTTGTAAAGATTTTGCCCAGTGGGAGAGATAGGCCATAAGAACACAGAACTCTGAAGGTCTGCCTAATGAAACTCTGCTTGTAACAGAGTGTAGTGAAGTTCAGTTTTGCTTATATCAGAGTATAGTAAACTTTAAGCCTAAGGATGCTCTCAAAAACAGCATAGATTTTGGTGGCAAGAAATTAAGAGAAGGCTAGTAGGTCCATGAGGACAACAAGCTAGACTGTAGGTCTGCTAGTCTTCCAGTGAGAATCTGGGAAAGAGATACACAAGAAGAGTCCTCCTGGGGTCAGAAGAACTCTCAAAGACTGGCCTCAAAATCTACTACTGTAAAGCAGTACTAGCACGTTTAATTAGATTAGACTGTGGAGCAATTTATGCCCCAGGGTATTGTTAAAAACAATAGAGCTTAAGAGAATGAAAAGGCAATCACAGAATAGGAAAAATATTTGCAAAATATATATCATCTGATAAAGGACTGTTATCCAAAATATACAAAGAACTATTAAAACTTAAAAATAAGAAAACAATTTGATTAAAAAATGGGCCAAAGATATTAACAGATACCTCACCAAAGAAAACATACAGATGGCAAGTAAGTATGTAAAAACATGCTCCAAATCACATGTCATCAGAGAAATGCAAATTTATGCAACAACAAGATACCACTACACACCTATTAGAATGGCCAAAATCCAAAACACTGACACCAAATCCAGGCAAAGAAGGGAAGCAATCAGAATTCTCGTTTATCACTGGAGGGAATGTAAAATGGTACAGCTGATTTGGAAGACAGTTTTGCACGGTTTTTTATAAAACTAAATACACTCTTACCATATCATCCAGCAATTGTGCTCCTTGGTATTTACCCAAAGGAGTGGAAAACTCATGTCCATGCAAAAACCTGCACGTGGATGTTTACAACAGCTTTATTCATAATTGCCAAAATTTAGAAGTAACCAAGATTTCTTTTGGTAGGTGAATGGATAAATAAACTGTGGTACAGCCAGACAATGCAATATTATTCAGTCCTAAAAAGATATGAGCTATCAAGAAAAGACATGGAGAAAACTTAAATATATATTACTAAATTGAAGACACCAATCTGAAAAGGGTACATAGCACATGATTCCAACCACGTGATATTCTGGAAAAGGCAAAACAATGAAAACAGTAAAAAAATAAGTGATGGCCAGGAATTAGGGGAGAGAGTGAGATGAACAGGCAGTGCACAGAGGGTTTTAGGGCAGTGAAAATACTCTGATGACTCTATAATGATGGATATGTGTCATTATACATTTGCCAAAACCCATAGAACATACACCGCCAAGAATGAATCCTAATATAAACTATGGACTTTGGATGATAATGATGTGTCAATTTATGCTAATTAATTATAACAGACGTACCACTCTGGTGGGGGATGTTGATAATGGGGGATGCTATGCATGTGTGGCAGCAAGGAATATATGGGAAATCTCTATACCTTCTGCTCAAATTGCTGTGAACCTAAGACTTCTCTAAAAAACATAAAGTTTATAAAAAAAAAATTTGAACTAACAATTAGTGGAGCCTGACACCTGAATATGATAGAGGCAAATGGTTTAACAAGGAAGTTAGGAAAAAGAGACAGTCAGAAAGGCCTGCTAAAACAACTGCAATCAAAAGGTGACTGTACTCATGCCCAAAGCTGTGCCATCTAGGAGTGACATCAGAGAATTCACACTGTGGGGAGTGAGTGGAGGAGAGGAATAGACTTTGCCAGAACAGTCCATCCAATTCACTAAGCAAATAAAAAAAAGCAAAACCAACAGTTTCAACTTGACAGGATTAGTATAATGGTGGAATAGTGTCTCCCCAAATTTCATATCTACTCAGAACCTCAGAGTGCCTTATTTGAAAATAGGGTCATTGCAGATGTAATTAGTTAAGACAAGATTATTCTGCATTAGGATGAGCTCTAAATCCAATGACCAGTGTCCTTATAAGGAAAGGAGAGGACATACAGAGATACAGAGGGAGAAAGCAGAGATTCACGTTATGCTGCTGCAAACTACGGAATATTTGAGAAAAAAGCAAGGAAGGCTTCCTCAGAGCCTTCAGATGGAGCATAGCCCTGTGGACACCTTGATTTCAGACTCCTGGCCTACTGAACTGTAAGAGAATAAACCTCTGTTGTTTTAAGACTCCAAGTTTGTGGTAATTTGCTATGGCAGCCCTAGTAAACTAATACAATTGCTGTCCAGATATGCTACTGTATGTTATCTAAAACGTTAAGTTTTCAACAAAAAAGTTAAGACATACAAAGTTAAAGGAAATTATGACCTACACACAGAAAAAAATAAAGCACGGAAATTGCCTAGCACAAATATCAGATATAGTAGACAAAGACATCAAAGCAGCTATTATAAATATGTTGAAAGAACTACAAGAAACAATATTTAAACAAGTAAAGGAAGCTATAATGACAACATCTCATCAATACCAATAAGGACATAAAAATTATACAAAAGAACCAAATGGAAATACCGGAGTTGAAAAGTACAATAACTGAAATGAAAAATTTACTAGATCCACTAGATGGGTTCAACAATAGATGTGAACTGGCTGCAGAAAGAATCAGTAAATTTGAAGACAGACTGATAGAGTATGTGATCTGAAGAACTGACAGAAAAACTAATGAAGAAAAATGAACAGAGCCTCAGAGAAATGTGGGAGGTGAAATGCTATTAAGCATAACAACATACGTAAATGGGAGTACCCGAAGAAAAGAGAGAATGAAACAGAAAAAATATATTAAAATAATGGCCCCAAACTCCCTAAATTTGCAGAAAAGCATTAATCTACTCATCCAAAAAGTTCAACAAACTTTAAGTAGGATAAATGCAAAGAAATTAACAGAAGACATATCATAGTGAAGACTTTGAAAGCCAAAGAAAAAGGAAAAAATCTTGAAAGCAGCAAAAGAAAACCAACTCATCACATACAAGAGAGTCCAATAAGGCCAACACCTAACTTCTCATCATCAACAACAGAGGCCATGAGGCCATGAGATGACGTATTCAAAGCACTGAAACAAAAATAACAACCAAATATCTTACCTCTAGCAAAAATATCTTTTAAAAATGAAAGTAAAATAAAGACATTCAGAGAGAAACAAAAACTGAGAAAATTCATTCTTTGCAGACCCATCTACATGAAATACTAAAAGGAAGTTCTTCAGGCTGAAAGCAAGTGACCCCAGAGAATAATTCAAATCCACATGAAAAAACAAAGAGCACCAGGAAAGGTAATTTGGTCATTATAAAAGACGTTATAA